CTGACTTAAGGACTGATAGTTGAGCTTTTATCACAATGAGATAGGTATTCCTTACAATTATATTGAATTTTAATTGGCATTTTATATTAAAGTATGTAGTAGTCAACAATATTGTTGGGGGGACTTTCATTTCGTATGAAAGTGCATGAACAAAAGATTCGTAGGTCGATCTCATTAGAAGAGGACGGATGAATCCCGTTGTACTGCAGCCGTTTGGCTTTTATACGACGTTCAGGTTCTTTTCTAAATCTTTTTACTATGTGGTTAACTATTGTTTACTGTATCCTTTTGAGCCTAGATTTTACTGATAGCCCCTTCTACACGCTTTCGATTCGATTTCACCATTGCCAAGCAAAGGCATTTATTTGTTTCACATATTTGTGAATATCTTTTCTTAAGTTAGAGAAGGATAGCAAAAAATAGGGGAATATCATCTCAAAAATTGCTGGTACCTGGATTCTTATCAGGTAACCTTAATGTGGTTTCTCTTGATTTTAGCTTACTGGTTTTCTTTACCATCTTGTAGTTTCCTTGTGTCTTTTTTTCACTTTAATATAAGCAAATAGTTTATGGCGATACCATAGCAATGTTGCTCGATGTGAAAATAAGGAAAGGGGAAAAATAAAGCTATTATAAGACAAATTTATGTTTGACTCTACTCAAGTATAACGTTTCTCTGAAGTTAGTATACACTTTTAGAACTCTATTATGCTTAAATTAATTTAGCTAAATTATTACGCTTTCACATTTCCAGTTGAATAGATTGCTCCTAATGGTCAAATTTCATTGAAAAAATTTGTTATTATTTTAGCTGAACTCTTGTGAATGCTTTTAATTACATGAGCTTAGCCAATCCTTTTATTCTATGCTTTTTCGTATTGTTGAGTTGTGTAGATTTGTGTTCTTTTGCCAACTCCAACACTAAAATGCCCCTATCTTACTATTTACGAGTCGATACTAACATTAGTTATACCTATCATTTTTAGAGTGTTTCTCTTAATACTAATTAATACACCATTCCAAATACGCTTCGCTGCTCGTTTTTATTAAGTTTAGATGACGTTAAACTAAGCATAGTAAAGTACTAAGCCTGGTACGATGCATTGTTTGTATAGTCGCCTGTCCTTTTTATTGTATGATTTTACTGGATGTTCATTTAACTCATTCCTGGCCTTAAGCCTTATCGTGGCTCGTGGAGTCGAAGTATCTATCGATGTGGCTACTAAGGGTGAGGCAAATATAATTATTTTTATTGCTATTATTTATGTTTTAAATAATTTTTGCTTTGGCTGTGGCACTTCCGAGCTCACGATCAAAATTCTAGGGCTAAGATACCCATTATACATAAATCCTCTCTTTCTTGCTTATACACTCATGTAAAACTTTTTAAAAATTTTAGGTTTGCTTGCCTGCTTCAGATTCCTGGCTCCGCCTATATAATAGCCTGGCTACTATGGCTCCGGCACCCAGTCGTAGTTGGTCTTTTGCTTCCTTGTTTTTTCGCCAGCTGCTGCTATTTATGTGCATTACTTGTGCAACTCTGGCTGCTCCGTCACTGGCTGGTTGCGTGGGCCAATCAACTAGTACAAAAGGCGCACCATTTGCACAGACGCTGGGTTCATCTACAAGATTCAGAAGTGCTCGCTGAAGGTGAGCCGGCCGCTCATCTTCTAGCTCTTACACATCGCCGTCTTCGTCGTGTCAGCTGTATACTTTCTGAATTTAGCAGTGAAGGTGTTAATGCAGTCCAACGCTTGATAACCGTCTTTTGGCATGTTCATGGACGTATTTTGCATGCCTACGAGGTCATCGGTACTGAGAAACTTCCTAGTCAAGGTCCCGTTTTCTTAGTTTATTACCACGGCACTGTACCTCTGGATGCTTATTATCTGGCTTCTTGGTGTGCAATTCATATGGATAGGCAAGTATCTATTCACTTACACATGCTTATAGAACCCATGCCGAGTGTTTTCATATCTCCATCCAACATGTTAGATTAAGCTCATCAACCAAACCGAGATTACGCAGCCCCAGTCATGCCTTTCTTTGGATCGTTAAACCTTAATGATCCCAGACTGAGAGATT